GTGAGTGTTTAAGTGTGTATAATGTGAATGTGTATGTGTGTGTGTGTGTGTGCCATTGATTGCTAGTAGAATTTTATATTGTGTGCGCGCTTCACAGAATCTCAGCAGACGACGACAATTGGGCAATGGCAAAGGCGCAACGCAACGCAACGCAACGGAACACTGCGCTACCGGGTTGGGTGTAACGGAGCACTTGGCTAGTTAGCGATATGGCAGCATTGTATATGGCTTCATGACTCCAATTCCTTTCACTTGCCCACTGATTAGACGAGACGCAACCAAAAATCGTAAAACAATAGCCCATGTCACACTCACACCTCGGACAGAGTCAGACGGACGGAGAGTCGGACAGTCGGACAGTCGGATAGACAGAGCGCAATGCTCCAGTGCCCAACAAATGCATCCCCCTTTATAACAGCACTCAGTGTAGATAGAGTGTACATTGAGCAAGTGTAAGTGAGTACGGACACAAAAGGGATTGTCCGAGCATACAAAGCATTCGTTCGTCTCTTATTCAATCTGTTGACAAAAGATTTTCATGCTGCCTTTGTGTGCAGCCTCCACTTCCAAGCCAGTTGGCATTGTGAACGCATTTTCACACTCCAATTTCGTGTTGGGCTTCGACAATTGACAGCCGCATTAAAAACTATATAAATTCATAAGTGGGAGACAGCAACAAAACAGCTGAACAGCCAGCCTTCTTTGAATTCTATATGATGAAGTCGAGAAATGTCAGTCGAAATCGATTCTATGCTGGCAAAAGCATAAAAGTAATTAATGAAAGGGTTTATTTATAGGCCACTTTCAACAAAATTATTTTCTACTCTGCCTGGCTTTGGCTCACCTCATTTGGCTGCTATATATTTTCAAATGAAGCACAATTTTAACGGCCACTTTGGCCATTTGCAATGCGAGGCACACAGAGCCAGAGCCGCCAAAAGCTTATGAAAATAAAGCAATTATGAATGCTAAACGAAACGTAAGGCGAAAACACTAAGTTCTATATGCCACAATAAATATACCAATACAAGCGCAAGCAGACAACGCGAGTTATTGTGGCAGAGCGAATGTGACTGTAAGATACCCTGGTAAAATACCTTGCGAATTTTAAAATGACTTATTGAAGGTGACTTTATAAGAATAAATTTTGCAATTCGCAATGGCATTTTGGTGGAAAAGTGAGCCAAGTCTCTAGCTGTAACTCTTATAGGTTTTATATAAACTCTTAAAGTACAATAAATAATTAATATATTTAATAGTAATTTATATAATAAATAGACTATTTAAATTATATTTATGCTATAGATAATCTACTACAAAGTAGAGATCAGAAAGTATTTAAATGATTACATCTATGATTACTCACATATTCATAAGAATCAACAACAATCCCATATACCCTTATTGCCACTTTTAAGGGGTAGGCGATACGTCAAGTGCCGCTCATATAATGCCTATCAAATAATTCGGGTAAGTCACGCTCTCAACGCTCAGGCCGGCAATCCATCAAGAGTCGACATATCCGTTGCACAGATAGCTCTATGGCCAGCCAGTTCGATCAGTCAATAGATATATATATATCTACATATGTATATACATGTATACTCGCAAATTTATTGAGTTGGCCAATAAACGCAGCAATTTGTATTCGCATTTCCGTGCTCGACTCGTAGCTGGCTAATGCCAAATATTCAGCACATTATTTCTTATGCGATCGCCTTCGAGTCTCGACTCGAGTCGAGGTGTGCGTCAGAAATAATATTTTTATTTTCTATTAACGCGAACCAAACAAGACGCTCAAGACTTTAATCGCTTACAGTGTGTGCTGTTAATAATGGGACCCCGGGATCGGGACCATGGCTCGAGTTCGGGCTCCAGTTTCGCTCGCATGCTTACATAATAATTATATAAAAAAAATTATGAAATTATGCCGTGTGTGCTGTGCGCGGCTAAGAACGTGTTAAAACGAAATTCAATTAAAGTGTGAGAAGAAGACGCAAACGAAGCCCGAGTCTAATGGATGGGTTCTCTTTGGTTTGGCTTAGCCCACTTCCTGCTCTGCTCTGCTCACGAGTTAATTATGCTCACGATATGAGAACTGGGAATGAATGGGCGCCTCAGATATTTCTAAACATCTTCAGAACTTTCGCAGTCGCAGCTCGTGGGCGTTTGATGTTTTTTTTCTCTTCATTTTATGTTTTTACAAGTGAAAAGTAGATAAGGAATAATAAAAGTAGATAGCAGAGAATAAAAACATAAAAATGTGTTTAACAAGACGCAAAGTGTATCAGAAAGCAAAGAAACAACACATGGCCCGCCTCGTTCGTTGACGCAATGGGAATTGGTGAGGCGTGCCAAACGAAGCAGGGCGCTTCGGCAGAGCTCGGCTCGGCACGGAGCGGAGCGACACGGCGCTTGAGCGTTAACTGCTCGCAGCCAGTGTGCGATGTAGAAAGCCACGCTCTAGACTCTATCGACTGGGCCGGCCGGAGTCAGTTCTGCATTAATGAGAGAGCAGTTCGGTTCATGCTCGCTCGCACGCTACGTGTGGTCGCCCCCAGTGTCAGTTGCCAAGTGTCTTCTCCCCAGTCCCCCGCCTTGTCATCCCCCGGCGGTACCTTCAGCTCGTAAAGAGCGTCCAACTGTGCACAGCTTCAGCTTCAGCTGCAGTGAGTGTTTGCTGCCATTCCATTTGGTGTTTGATTTGAAGAGGAAAATCATATATAAATCGTCATTTGCTCAGCTCTGCTCAGTTTTTTGTAATGGGAAAACTCGTTTCATGTTTTCTCGATACGAATTTTCCTCTCGAATCAAAAGCCGTCTGCGCGCGCGATTTACGTTTTGGGCAGTCAGTCGCAAGTCGACGCTGCTCCGATGCGGAGTGCTGCTCGTGTGAATACGAATAGACACTGAGAGTGTCTGTGTGCGTGTGCGTGTGCGTGTGTGAGAGTCGAAATTTGCCGATCGATTGCATTTTGGAGTGCATTACGCATACGCCGCGTGTCGCGATTGCCAGCTCGATGCTCAGTGGCCACAATCCATATCTAATAACAGACGCGCTGCAATTGACAATTGTCTTCGTTTACGGAACCAGCACGCGTCGGTGTCAGCTACATTTTGTTTCTTCATAAATTGTGTGTGTGTGTGTTTGTGTGTGTGTGTGTGCATATTGTTGTTATATGATGCGTTGCTATGGCTGTGACGTTTTCGCTAAAGACATTCAGTAAGCAGTTCAGGGCTAAGCAATGAAGGTGTTGCCAATTAATATTTAAAGCGTCTGCCTCGTAACGTGATAACTTGTTCCACATATGTATATAGATGTATATATACGCACGCATACATATGCGTTTCGCTGTCTTGCTCAGCCTTTTTGTTTTCTTAGCCAAAAAAAACTGAAATGTTAAATGTCGAGGCTTAAAATACTGATTAAAAAAAACAAAAACAAAAACAAAAATAAAGAAATATAAAAATCTTGTATAAACTTGAAAATATACAAATATTCACATTAATAATGCAACAAAAAATAATATAAATAAAATAGAATTTTACCTGCTCTTGATGGAGCTTAAAAATGTGTTTTCTAAAATCCGACGTTCGTTTTAATATCATTTTAGTTGAAATAAGTTTTGTATAAAAGCAAATCTGAGTAGATTACATGCAAATCATATCAAATGCAAGAAAATGACAAATTCTGTTGCACCTACAAACAATATAAAATCTGTCCAAAGATGGAAATACCAACGACTAAATATCTAGCCGATTATCTATATGTTGTGCACGAGGATGTGCCCTTCAGATATTATCGTAAAGTAAGTAATATGCATAGAAAAAAAATAATAAAAAAATGAATGAACTAAAATATAGACTGACATATGGAGGACTTCTTTACTTAAAGATAACAGAGCTATTAAATAATTATTTAATGGATACTTTTTATAGATCAATGTAAAATAATATACTAATGTAGTAGTAATAATAATCATAATTTAATATCGTAATTTAATAAGGTAGTGAAAAACCAGAGCTGATATCAAGATTTAGCTTCGATGTTTTATGTAAGAACTTTAGTTAAACAATCTATTTAATGGCATCTATATGATATTCTAGTTAAATCCAGACAATTTTGCTATACATATCTACTGCATATAATCTATGCAAAGCCAGACTCACATGAGATGTGAAATATAGATACATATAAGCTGAAAGATAAATAGGTGATAGAAACAGATCAACAAGATTGTTTACATGATCTAGATCATATCGCATCTAAGCTGTTACATAATGCCTGTCGAAACGATAATACCCTCTAAGAGTATGTGCGAAAACAAGCTATAAAAAGATGCAGCCGTAAATGTTAAAGTTTTAAGCTTGGTTTGTTTTCTGTTTTTAAATACTTTACATCTATATAAATAGCTGTCGATAAATATCTATATGCTTATATATATCTGGAGTGCATGCATGATATGCCACATGATGTTTAACGCTCATAAACCTATAATATTAGACTCGCTGAGTAGTCGGGAGCTCAGTCAATGCCTATAGATGGGTGTATTTGAATAGCGCGCACTCAGCTGAGCTGCGAGCTGCTTTTGTTTACATTTTCACTGTGCGGTTTTCGCTTTATTAACTGCGTTTACTTGGGCGTCACGTCTGTCCGTTCGTCCGGATAACCGAGCGTCGCGTCGCGTCGCGTCGCCTCGTCTCGCTCTTGAATGAATTTCACTTAAAAGCGTACCCCAGTAGTGGCAAAGCGATTTTTTATTTTTGATGTACGTTTTATTATATATAAAAAGATCTTTTGTTGTTGTAAATTTAGCTGCGAGCTGCAAAGTTTTATATTTGAAAGTACTCAAAGTCTGTTATAGTTGCTGCTCCTATTGTTGTTGTTGCTGTTGTTGTTGTTGGCGTTGGTGTTTTTGCTCCGCATCTAATGGGCTTATGCGGCACATTTTGCAGGCAGCGGCATTTTGGTCTGTGGGACCCCCGTAATGGGCCGTACTTTCTTTTGCTGCTCATTACGCGCTTAGATAAATATATAATATAAGAACGAGCTCAGGTAGGGGCCAGCTAACTAGTGTGAGAGTGTGTGTGTGTGTGCGAAATGGAGCTGTAAAACAAATAAACAGATTGACAAATGGACAGACAGACTGGCAGACAAATTATTAAACGAATTCAAGAAAATTACACAACTTGAAAGCGGAAATGCCGGAAATGAGTTTTGGATTGTGGGTGGCGTTTCACCTTTTAAGCATTCGCCAGCGGATGCTTGTGACACCTGTCTGTCAACACACGCACACACACACACAAACACACATATATATGTATTACCTATCATATGACTAATGTACTTCCCCATTTTCAACTCTTTGCAGACCAAATGCTCGGTATTTCGCGGCCTTGTGCTGTGCATTTGCCTCAACGTCAGCTATGCGAATGTGGTGCGCTTCCCACGCGAACTGGACCACTATGGCTCGGCGTATCTGGTGCCGTATGTGGTGTTGCTGTTTCTAGTCGGCCTGCCCATGATACTGCTCGAGATATCTGTGGGTCAATTTCTGGGCCAAGGAGCGGCGCACACCTGGCGTGCATCGCCCATATTCAAAGGTAAGCAAAGGTGATGGACTAACTGTCCTCTGTAAAGCTGCATGAGATGGCAAAGCTGCAGTCCTCTAAAAACTATGAAAGCACAGGCTGAAAGCTTGCAGTTGAGTGCACTTTTTATGGCAACAACTATATGGAAAGAGATGCAACAGGTGGCAAGCTGTAAAGCTCATGCAGAAGGCAAAGCTCTTGCATTTGGATGCAGCAATAGCTATTACAAAAGGATTATGTTAACGGAAGTGCAGCACACTACGTAAAGCTTTCAAGAATGCTTAAGGTTCATTTCCTGGCAATAGCAAGGGCATGCCAGGTGCAACAGGTGGCAAGCAATCAACCCTTGCGGCCAGCATTTCCTGTGAATCATGAAAGCTGCAGTCCTTGTGAAAAGTTCTAAAGCTCATTTGAAAAAACTTGCATTTGGCTGCACTTTGGCGCATTTCGTTTACAATTCCCAAGTTGGAATTCCGCGAGGACATCGTATATAAGGCGAATGCCAGCCACATGCTGTTGGGGCGGTCGTGTGTTCCGCAGTAAAGACGGTTGGACACAGCCCGTCGAATCCGCACTCTGAAATTGTGTCCGTTTGGTTAACGCTTGTAGAACAACAACAGCAACTACAAACGCACAAACAGAAATCAAACGCTGCGCAAACTTTCGTCATTCTCTGATGCTAAACGCAACATGCTAAATGTACAAGGCACAGAACAACTATTAATATATACTATACATGTATATCTGAATAAAATGCAAAAGTTGAAACTAGAAATCACGATACGCAAAGATAATTGATGAAGAAGACAAAAGATACTATCTGACCAAAAGTATATCAATGCAAACAAAAAAACATATAAAACGCATAAAAATACACTAAAAAAATGAACAATGAAAGTAAACTAACTTAAATGTGACCTAGTAGATTAAAGATATCATCATCGTGTTATCAGGACAAGAAAAAAATCTCTCAGAAAATCTAAAAAAAAAAAATATTAAAACTGCAAAAATGCATTGGTGTGTGTGTCCCGTTCGTGTAATCGCTGACACGTCAATTGGCCACACAGAGTCCTGGACCGGCAGTCCTCCCCTTCACCTCAAGCCGAGGATATGCTAGGGATAACGCTTGGCCGACTTGGCGCGTCCACAAAAAATAACCATAGAGACGTTTAAGGCAAATTCTAAATGAACAAAAGTATAAACCAAGAAAAACAAAGGAAAATGAAAACTGAAGAAAACCAAAAATGAAAAACAAAAACACAATTGTAACGAAGAAACAAACGATATTCAAAAATGAGCAATATGAGCAACATACTAATAATGGCAAAAAGCAAAAATGAAAAAACTGCAAATTACGACACAACACCTTCGAAAAAGACCTCAGTATAATACACATAATGCTGGGTGCTGCAAAGGAATGCCATAGCCGTATCGCCCCTTTTTTTTCACCATATTGATAGATAATATTATTTTAAATTAATTACAATGTGTGTGGATTGGGCAATGCGTGCGTGTGATTGCAATCGGCAAACCACATGCAATAATTTTTATTTTAAAAGTCAGTCGGAAATTTAAATTGCATTTGAATTTATGTTCAAATTTGAATTCGATATGCGGTTACCCTCATATATATATAGAAATATGCAAATCAGCAAGACAGCTGGCAACGCTTCTCATTTGGCCATCCAAATATAGTAAGTGTGAAATGTTACGTTTATGTAAATCAGATAGATAGCTGCCACATATAAAAATCAAAACTGATTTTTTAAGACTTTTGCATCCAATTAGTGAGAGTTAATCGTTGCGATTATGTTAATTTTTATATGGGTGGCCACATTTAGTATAAAATTCAAATTAATTTGCAAGCCTTGCAAGATTCAAGCTGAGTGCTATGAAACTTTAACGTTAGGACTTTCATTACATTACGTTACGTAGCTAACTTCTGATTGGCGGCAGCGTTTGTTGTAATTGAGCGTACGTAGTAGGACTTACGTTACGTAACTTCTAGGCAGACTTCCTTGTGCTAGCTGACAACGCTAGCTGAGTGCTATGAAACTTTGAAGCGGAAGTGGCGATGATCATAAATTTAATTTGCAATCGTAAATATTGTTAGCTACATTTTATTCTTCATAATTAATTCTTAATTTAAATATATAAATTTTAATTTCAAACAGGGGCCAGCATCATTAGCCGCTTTGCATCTTGGGTGTCAGCTATATGGATATCCTTGCAGGCTGTGCTTGCGCTGGGCTACATAGGCATGTTTGCCTCCAACGGGATCCCATTTCGCGAGTGCGTGGGCAACCTGAAGCTGAGCATGGTAAGACTTCTCATATTGAATTTGCGTAATCTGTGAAGCTAACGCGATCTGCTTGCAGCAAGGATATACGGTGACGGGCAACAGCGGACAGGAGTGCTTGCAGCAGACCTTTCTGACGCCCTTCTGGCGTAATCCGCTCTACTTTGGACTGCTGGCTGCGGGTCTAATTGGTCTGTGGATAGTGGTTATGTTGTGGTATGTATGAGCAGGCTAAGATTATTTAGTTTTAACTAATTTAAACTTTCCTTGACAGCACGCACAATGCCAAAGTTCTGCGACGCAGCTTGTTTGTCTATGGCCTGGTGGGGCTTTGTTTGCTCTGCGCCTTGACTGGCTGGGAGGTGCGCAACTCCTTCTCCCGCCACTACTTTCCCGAGCTGTGGGCCTTCGACCGCACATTGCTCGGGGAGAGCAACATCTGGTTCAATGCCTTGATGCAGGTGTTGTTCTCGTTGAACTGCGGCTTCGGCGCCATGCCCATGGTGACGGGCAAGTTCCTCTACAAGGGCGACGCAGTGCGCACCTCCGTGGTCTACTTGTGCTTCAATCTGCTGATCAATGCCATTGCCGTGACCCTGTTCATGGTACAGTTCGATTTCTCGTCCAATGGCTTTCCGCTTATGGACGAGCTGAAGCCGCTGACTGCCATCTATGATCGGGTTCTCTATGGCGCCCAGTCGGAGGGCGAGCTGCTGCGTCATCTGATACCCTCGTTGATCTATGCGCTGATCATCTTGTCGGCGCTCGTCTCCATCACCGTCGCCGTCTATACATCGACGCGCCTGGTGCCCCGTCGGCCCAGCTATGTCATTTGCCTGATTGCCCTGGTGGTGGCCGTCATGTCGTTCGCGGCGCCCAAGTTCCTGATTGCCCGAGTCCTGGACTCACGCATTGTGGGCACTCTGGTCATTACGGCGCTGGTGTTCGAGCTGATTGCCATCACATGGATCTATGGCGCCAAGAATATCTATACGGATCTGGAGTTCTCGATCGGACGGCCCATCTTCCGTGGCTGGATGTGGATGTGGTGCAGCTGTCCGGCCATTCTGACGGGCATTTTGGTGTGGTGGTGCGCCGACGACGATCAGTTCGATCTGCTGGCGGGCTACTTGCCCCGCTGGGCGCCCATTCTGTTTGCCCTGGCGGTGATCATGATTATCGCCTGCATACAGATCTTCCGGCAGGTGGAATACAATTTCTTTGGCATGATCTGCGAGGCCTCGAAGCCAGCCAAGGAATGGGGTCCAGCTGATCCGCTGGCGCGCCACTCGTGGAAGCAATGGCGTTCCGTCTGCCAGGACACCGGCCGGCGTGACTTCACCTTGCGTCGTCGTGGCACCCGCGACTACACGCACTCCATCAAGAAGGGACAGTATTCGAGTGGCCAAAAGCTCGGCGCCAACGGCCAGACGGTGCATCCACAGCAGACGCACTGGAAATCCTCCACGCCGGGCAACAGTTCGCCCAACTACAGCGGCTCCATGTTTGGCGACTCGGCCATCGAGGAGGACATTAGCGTGGACAAGTTTCCGGGCATCACGCAGCAGTATGTGCCATTCCAGGCCAGCGATGGCAAGCCGCTCAGATATTCGCAGCGGGCACGCCAAACAGCGCAGCCACAAACGTTGACTCGCCTGCCGCCGGGTCCGACGACAGTGGAGAAGCACCGCGAGGTGGTGTACATCAGGCGGCTCTCGGATGGCGGCAGCGGCAGCCACGCCACACGCATTGAGATATCGCCATCCAACGAGTCGATTACCTATGGCAATGGCAAGGCCAACGGTAGCGCCAATTTGGCCATGTCCCGCAACCCTTTGGGCCGCTCCACTGGCTGCTTGGCGCCGGCGCCGGCGCACAATCCGAGTCACATCAAGCGCTCGGCCAGCTCCGTGGTGAATGTCAACACGCACAAGCTACCTCCGCCGACGTCCGCGGCTGCCGGCGATCACATCTGTTGGCGCAAGTTCAATATCAATCCCGAGGAGTACTCCACGGAGCTGTGAGCTGTGTGAGCTGTGAGCTGACGGAAACGAAGCATTCACACCCAAAAGACTTGTCGCATCCAAAATAAGAGAAAACATGTATCTGAATCTGTGCAG